ATTGACGGATGCAACATCGGTAACGCCCACCCTTCCGACTGATCAACGAAATCCAAAGCGCACTAAAGACTGATCCGCCTATGCAACCGTCGCTGTTCGGTCTAATCAAAGTGCGACCTCAGTAGCCTCACGCAGTACAGCCACTAAACGGGTCAATGTCCAAGTGCAGCCTGCTGAGACGTCACTATATCCCTCGATAACCGTGCTTCCCACATCACCGAAGACCAGGCGGAACTACGGGGCCTTGACAATTACGTACACCAAAGTTCCTGAGTCCGAGGCAAACTCCTTGTGGTATAAACAGCAGGATGATCTAAAGCAATGGAATTTCCTTCGTGATAAAATCGCAGTTCAAGACTAATATAATGCGCATCACTAAAAACATCCAACCTTGAATCTTTATGGGAGTCCGGGCTAATATGAGTAACATTGAGAACAATAGATGATGTCAAGACGGTGCTTTGTCGGCATGCCACCTGCGGACGGTAAACGGTGAAATACTCCTATTTCTGAATGCGACTGGATTGAACGCCAGCGGGACAAAAACAATTCAGACTACCACCACCCGGAGAGTAGCGAGAAACATTTTTATTCATGGTATGTCCGAGCTACCGACAACAAACAACGAAGAAGCCAACGCTCAGTACCTGGAAGAATGGCGTTACCTACGTGAAGCTCTCTGTGCGGGCATCGTCATACTTCAGTCAATTACACGGTTACCCGAGTCGCCAAACTGCAGAGACGGTTGACCGAGGATACTGAAACTAACGGTGCAGGCACAACAGATGGCCGTGAACTTAATCGGTAGCTGGCAGTTACTACGCAACACACTTCCTTCGGAACCACGACTGAAGACAGGCACTCGTTGTTCTTACGGAAACGACACCACCCGCGACTCAATATAACCATAACAGCGATGCAGAAACCTGTGCGCTGAGACCCGTAGCTGTCTAGAAGGCTGCCGATGGACTATATACCACAGGTGCGAATAAGACCAAAATCTGATTCCGTCCGTATCTAGATTCGGCGATTCAGCAAAAAAAACGATTAAGTACCGGCCTCTCATCGGTTGGCACAAATCCACATCGTTTGTGTGCACCTAGTCAACAGCGTTTGACATCCGATGGGTTTCCTTTATGTACACTAACGCTCAAGGCTTACTGAGTAAACTTCCGGAAATACTGTTGCGTCAAGGATCAAAGGCCTGCGACCTCATCGCTACTAAACGGAGAATTGGTTACTCCCTGTCATAAGTGACATGGAGATCGCACTGCCAGGCGTGTCCATTGTCCAGTACGACCGAACCAGCAAAGGTGGAGGCGCGGCTCTGTACTTCCGCAACGACCTCCAATTTGAACTCATAGAGGATCCGGTCAGCACGGTACAAAATTCCCTATGGTGCCGGCTACCTTTAAAAGGTGACGACACTTGCTTAGCGGCGGTAATTTACAGCCCTCCTTCCTCCACACATGAGATAGACTTCTGTTTGACATCTGCAATAATGAGGGTGAGAAACACAACTTACAACCACATTCTCATTACTGACGATTTCAACATCCAGGCTATGGAATCCCAAGCAGCTCCCGGAGAACGGTTTAAGGCGGATTTACAAGATTTTGTCTCCAGTAATCCGTTGTATTTCCACATCAACACTTCCACCCGATTCCAAGAAAAAGAAAGGCCTTTGACACTGTGTCGGATATTCACTAACGAAGAACTAATGGTCGAGAGGGTAATCGTCGACGTCCCACTAAGCCGCACCGATCATGTACTCCTACTCTTCGAATACATTTGCTATGCTGAATAGCCCGCGAAAATTGCTGATGCTACGACATATTAGCTCGACTAGGCAAGACAGCCAACTGGACCTTTCTGGCAGACAAGGCACCAGTTAGTGCACGGGAACATTTCGCTAACCAGTTTAACTCTCTAGCTGCCGAAGCGATGGCGACTGACCTTCCGCCCAAGAAACGTGTTCTCGTTTCTGCGAAGCCGGACACGCAGGTGTAAAGCGATGTGAAACTTAAGCTGTCAACTCTACAAACTCTCTCCGAGCATCGAGAACTGGATGGCCCATGCGACCCAACCTAACCACCGTACTCGGCTTGTTCGCGACAATAGAATGGTGTACCAGCAGAAGTTAGCAATGCGTATGGCGTCAAACCACGACAACAGCCTACGTAAGGGGAAACGTTGAATTCCTCCTCTCCAAACAGCGGACGGACCTACACGGACACCGAAGGAGGCGGTGATTACCCTGCGGCTACAATACGCTGCAACATTTCAGTGCGACCACTGGTCACATACCCCTATGGCAATGGTTGTGTCACCATTAAAACACTCACGTATCCTTCACAGCAGAAGCTGTACTAAAAGAGCAGTTGAGTATGCGCAAGCACAGCTCCACTGGAGTTGATAATATACACATGAAATCTTTAGCGGCGGTAGGAGAGAGTTTAGCTGAGCCTTTGGCTCAATTCTTCCAACACTGTTTTAACGAAATGTACGTGCTCGACATGTGGAAACAAGGGATGATTACTGCTATTCACAAGAGAGATGGTCGTTCCAATCCAGCCAACTATCGTCCCTACGGTTCTTTCAAAGGTCATGGTAGCTATTATTTCTGATGCGCTAACCGCCTAGTTGGAAGACGTTAAGTACCTCGCACCGGGACAGCATGGCTTCTGACGAAAGCGATCGCGCAACACAAATCTACTACTAGCACGATTCAGTTAGGCTGAAGTAGTAGACTATGGTACAGGAGTTAATGTGGTCTTTCTCGACTTCTCAGAGCGTTTGACTGGTTAGAACATAACCTTCTGCTCTTCAAACTCCAGACTTTTGGTATCGCTAATTCTCTCCTAGGCTGGATCAAATCTTTCTTCTTCACCGGCGTCCGGAAGTACGTGTTCCTGAATCGTTGTCAAATCGCATCTGAGTATCACAGGGATCGGTACTAGGACCGCAATTATTATTTTTGTATAGTAACGATACCACACGCCTTGTAAGCTCGAACTGCTTGCTTTATGCCGATGACATCAACGTGTGGAGGGCGATTAGTACACCAGATGAGGTCACAGTATTTCAAGCTGGTCTGGATAAGGTATATGCGTGGTAAATGCAGAATCTACTTCGATTCAATGTAGACAAATGTAGAGTGCTGCATCTACGGCACAAGTTGGTGTACGCCTATAAACTCGGCAACCAGGAGCTTCGAACGTCTTCTGACCAAAAGGATCTGGGAGCTTTTGTGCAGTTACACCTTGGATGTTCGAAGCAGGCTGAAACGGCGTCAAAAAGGGGCATACAACACGTGGGCCTCCTGAAGCGTGCATTCGAACGATTCGACCCTTCGATTTTGCCACAACTTCTCGGCTCATACATACGGTCACATGTTGAATACGCAATACAGGTCTGGCCGCCATGGCTGAGGAGAGATCTCATCGCCTTGGAGACACCCTAACGCCGGACAAGCAAGAATTTCAAGGGTCTTTATAATCTACAATACGAATTTAGGTTTCATGTGCTCGGGGTATTCGGCGGGTAGCATTGACATTTGCGCGAAGACCATATTTTGACTTACTCGATCTTGAGAGATCCCAACCACACGGTCCGCCATTTGCTAGAGCTCAGTCACAACAGCAATTTGAGAGGCCGCCATCTTAAGCTGACAGAGCAGAACAGTCGCTTGGAATTCCGTCAGAATTTCTTTCCCGTACACTTTTACAGAACCTGGAATGCCCTGCCGGAATCTGTCATATTTGCCTCCACGCTGGCAGAGCTTGAAGCCCGAGTTGACTGTGCACTTATTTCGCTGCACCATCTTACATGACTAAGTATCCATGGATAAACACAAGGGTTTGTGAAAGATTTCACTGGCTGTTCCAGATTTCGTTCCAGGCTTTTCACCTTCTGTATGTGTACACTAGAAGCTGACACGAGTTTTACGAAGATGAATTTGCCGTCATTGCTCATGGATTTACCTTGGAGTTACAGTCTACTCTACGTATACTACAGTGCGTTCAATGTGTAAACCCTGTTTTGATAACAATTTTCCAGATTTTGTATTTTCACCATAACCATCCTACGGGACCTGTTAAGCATTAGCTTTATTACCCGTATAAAATCATTGTTCCATTGTTTTACTGTTTATACTTGAATTATCTGAAATTCAGTTCAACATGTATCAGGGTCCTGATTGGGATCGCGTGCCTCCATCCACTCACAAAACAAACTGCTTCAAAATGACACTTTCTGTGAACTTCGGTATTGTGGTTGCCTCCCCTTATCTGTTTTTAATACCATGCCGAACCAAAGTGTTCTGTTGAGTAACACCAACATACACCTTACAAACTGCTTTCACGTGCCCGTGAATCAAATTCGGTGTAATAACACGTAACCTGAATGAAACACTTTAACTATAACGCCACGAGACCAAAATAAGATACATAATTAAAAGGATACGGAACGTTACGAATTACAAGAGACAAAGAAGAAACCAAGGTATAGAATGCTTAGTATCATATCATGCATCGGGTGTGAGACGGTGCTTAGAGGAGGAAAAGAGGTGAAAGAAGGTGGGACAAAAAGCTTACAGCACAAACGCCATTGAGGTTGGCTCTTTGCTGTGTCAGAAAGTGGATCAAACGTAGGTGGTCATGGTCCTTCGTACCCCAGTCCTGCATTCGGGCGGCACCAATGAGGGTCAAGTTCCAAGTGAGAGTCCTCACATCATTTAACTGTCATCTTTTATTCTCCCATCCTCTTCTTCCATCCACCCCCGGTTGTGACAACAACGCACGTCACGGAAATCGGTGCGTTGGTATGCGCAAAGCGTAGCCCAGCTATCCGATCCTGTCAGAACGTTATTATTCACTGTTACAATGTCCTTCGCTATTCGAGCCGTTGCTTTTCTTCTCTCTAATCTATGTCGTTGCAGCGAACGACACTTGGCCGAATCATGTCCATACCGTACCATGATGGTATCCCTTTATTTTCAGTGTCGCACTTACCTGGATCCAGTGGAAATACTAAAGGCAGACGCCGAAGAAGCCATTGCGAAGGTGGAGGAGACCCTGCGAACACTGCAAATTTTCAAACACACGTATGATGAATACAGATCAAAGTTGGCGGACTACTTCCGGAACGTAAAGGATGAACGTGGGAAGGCCGTCCAGCCAGTGTTGTGGGAGTTTAAAACCGAGTTGGCATTCGGACGGTTTGACGCATTCACGGAACGAGTCAAAGAAATTCAGGTGAGCGAATGATGAATACTGCTAGTTGTTGCATAGACCCACACGCACTCACACTTACACATGGTTCAAGATGTCACAGCCAATTCTTTAAAAAAAATAAAAACCTATGGCGTTTTGATGACATTATTTAAATATATCAAGTAGGAATTTCTGCTTGTTAGTTGATCAAAGAATTTTGAGTGAACGGAGGCCAATAACCCTAGAAAGCACGCATCGTTGTCCACGATCTAAGTACCGGAGAGAGACGCCAGTCATTTAAGACTATTTCAGCTTGGGAAGCAGGTGAAAGTCTGACGAGGCCTGGTCTGGTGGATAGGATGGACGAAGAACAATTTGGAACCAGAGTCGCTGCTTGTTGCCTTGCTGGCTGTGCGTTGTCACGATAGAAGAGGACGATTTTCGTCATCATTCCTGACCTTTTTTCTCAACTTATTTATCAGAGTAGGTAGGCGCAATATTCTCCCGTGATGATGTGACACCTTTCACAGAAATCCATCAACCCACCACCCGCACATCCAGAAATAGTGAGTCTATCACCTTCGTGTTTGAAAGAAGGACCTTGACTTAATTCGAAGTCGGAGGGGTAGAAATCCTGCATTGCTTCAATTGCTCTTTTGTTCCAGCCTGATAGTTGTTGACCCAGCATTCAATCATAACTTTGAATAAGCAAATAGTCTTTATTGGTTTTTACCAGTCTTGACCTTTTTACTGGTAAGCCCTGTGTACAGCGCTCCTGTTTGTGAGCCCGAAGACAAGGGACTGAGCAGGCAGGAATATTTGCGAAACCAAGTTCCTTCTTCAGGATGCGATCTAGTTACCCTGTGATGTGCTCACCTTGTTGGCTACGTGTGGTTTTGACATTCGACCATCTTGCATGATCCTATGCGTAACACGGTGAAGATTTTAAATGATTTCACACACCTGCCTTGTAATCTGGAGGCACTAGTTCCAGCCTGCGTAACGGACCTGGCGACGCTCGCAGTATCCTTAGCCCACGCGCGACTGGTGTTGGTTGCACAGCAGCGAAGCGTCAGTACTGCGTACGGGCGTAGCGCTGATGCCTTTTGTTGGTCTACAATCTTCATGACCTCTGTTTGTCTGCAACATCCTCCTTACTACGCGTGAATTCTTGTACGCAGTATTTGTGACATGAAGGCGGACTACGGCTCAAAGTATTAGGCACATCATTACGGATTTCAGATGGAAATATCTGACCGCAGTTCGATACTCGGATTTGTCCATTTTGGCCAGCTTACTTACACTTATTCACCTCGAACCATGAAAAAGGAAAGATTATACACAGAATCATTCGAATACCAAATGCAACTATTTTCTGCGTTGGGTTCAAGAATTTTCGGTCGCTTGACACACATGCAAACGGTTCCCACACGCCGTTTTTATCCTTTTGTATTGCGATTAAACATTAGGTAATAGAGGAAAGCAGTAAACAAGGTTGGTAGCAGTGATGTTAATGGCAGACTATAACATCCAAATTTTCCAATCCCTAGGTGTCAGATTCGCATGGTCCCAAATCTAGAAGTTGGACTAGCCCGACTGATAAAAAAGAAGTTACCTAGCTTGTATTCCTTTTCCACGCCATTTATTTTTCACCGAGTCCTTTCTTCCAGTTGCTTCTCGTAAGTGCAAATAAAGCTTGACTGGGAAGGCGATTGATTGGCATATGCAATACGTGGCGAGCTACCGCATGGGGTATCAGAAGATCACAATTTTAATGCGGAGACTGCCCTTTCCAAACACTCGGTCGCAAACCCTCCTAATGTCTGCACGATGTTGCCACCAAACACCAGCAATCCTTCAAATAAAAGTGTTGTTAAAAGTTGACCATCATTTCATTTCTTCTGAGCATACAGTACAAATCGCATAGCCGTACATCAGTACAGAGAAAGTGTAAACGCTACCTTGAGGTTGAGATGGACATCTCGACAAGGCCACAAGCGTCGTAATTTGGTGGATGCAAGGCGGGAATTTGCGATTCGTTGTGGCACCTCCTGTCCAACATCGCGAGTAGCCGTGCTGCAACTCCCTGGACAGGTGAGACAATCAACTGGTTCCAGAATGTCACTAGCAATGGTGAGTGTAGACAAAGCACCTATCAATTAGGTTTTGTATTTGGATATCTCCAACACTAAGCGATCATCTGTTTCGCTTGGTTCGAGGATCCTCCCCAGTGAAGTGGTGTCATCAGTGTAATTCAAGTCTGTGATTGTCTCCAGGGCGAAGTTCGCCGCCTGGGCTCTGGGCAGTTTCTTGTGCCCGTTATACAACATCTTCGAAGTCAGAACTGAAGAGGAAAGGTGAAAAGGTAACTTTGTCAAACACCGCTTGTGGCAACAAACGAAGCGATGAGCACACTGGGAGTCCCACCTGGGACAGACGTGGGACTGTACAGTTCCCTCCGGATAGCAAATATCTTTCTGCCAAACACTTCCTTAGTAAATTGTTGCATAAAGTATATTTATTTACTGAAACAAGCGTCTTACGGATGCGCAAGATGCTTGTAGTCGTTGGTTGTTGGTGGACGTTTCCGAGTTCGTCAACTTGACGGAGCGTATAGATTTGGTCGACGCAATCTCTGCTTGAACGAAAACCGGCTTGGTGTTCTCTGTAAAAATCGTCTCTAGCCGCTGAGAGTCTACGAAACAAGACGGGCATCAGAATCATGGAAACAACAGAGCTCAACGAAATTCCGTGGTAATTTGCGCAGACGTTGCGGGAGCGTTTCTTGTGGACCCGGATAATAATTTATCATTCCCATGAGTTTTAAAACGTCTCATCAGTTTATACTTTCGTGAACATCTAAAGGATGAAACATCATGCAATGTGTTTCAAACCGATCGGGAATTCATGACTTCAAAATTGTTTGAAAACAACCTTTTGGTGTATTTGGAGGATTACCTTGACTAGTGCATCGCCGCCATCATAGAATAGAAACGAAGGAGGCTATCACCACTGGAAGCTTTATAACCTCTCAAAGAGAGCATTGCGACGCAGACCTTAACATCTCTAGGAGGATCTGGGCACAGAGACCAAGCACCAACTGGCGAAAACCGAGTGCCACATAAGGCTTTAATTGGTAATTAGATAGAATAGCGCAATGTATCACCCAACGAAAATCCTCTGGGAACTCGAGAGAAATAACATTCCATCCGTAGTACGCTAACTCGCTAATATTCTCAATTTTATTGGTGACATTCAGGAGATATTCGTCCCGGATTTCGTCCAAAGGACGTGTTGTTGGTTTAGGTGTTGTCTTACCACATCTTTGGGAGCAAGATTGCCGCTTGGGATGACCCGTCACTTGCACGGCCTCTTCCAGAAAAGGTGATTATTTAGTGTCAGTTAATAGACTTTGACTTCGATGCCAGTCTTGCCTGAAGAACCCACTGGGGATATCCAAAACCGTTTTCAGCGCTAATCCTATAGTCATATACCAACTGGCTTCCGGATGACCATTCCTCTTAACGTACTAGTGAAAAATATTTTGTGCCCATTTGTATACTTAGATTCGAGTGTAGAGCTCAGCGCTTCACTGGTTAGCAACGCTTACCATGCTGTGCGATACGGGCTTCGGACGTCTACTACCTCGACGGCACTTGCTCTCTTGCTTCAGATCGGGTCTACGTCGCTAACTAGCCCCTGAAGGCTGCCTTTGCTCCGGTGAACTAGGAGTTGGAGCTGAAAAAGTCGGGCTGAGTCGTCACATGGATCCACTGCGCGAATAAAAAGCTCATTAGGTTCTAGTATTCGTTTGGAAAAGTGCAATGTCTTAATGTCACCTCAGATGTGTGAATCCGGTTGTCAGTTGCTCTTCCACGATTCATCTTCCCCTACTACCCAAGCTGTATTGACTGTGCAACATCTGACCTCTACCCTATGGCTCATCTCACTCCAGTAAGCGAAATAGCTTCAACAATGCCTGCCTCCACTCCGTTCATCAGTGCAGCTCACATCAACTCAGTGGCGATGATAGCAGCTCTGAGCCCGAGTTTGCCGACCATGGAGAATTGGCGGGCATCGTACGCATCGGCTACCCATATGCGAACGCCGGAGGAAAAAGCACTGACTCAGTTAGCAGCACCGAGTAACATTAGGATAACGCAGCTTCTATAGCCAACCAACCTGTTAGAAATGGTATCAATTAGTACCCTTAAATCTGCAGTCAACAGAAGAAATCACGGTGGCTTAACTGCTGTTTGCATGAACGTTCCAGAATCGCAGTCTACACCTTTTCTCAGTTAATTGCATCCATAAAGCTTTCAAACTTAGCCTTAAGGAAATAGGTTTAGTCCATGCATTTTTCAGTATCCCCCTTAACACAATCAAATATCATCCACCTGGCGCGAACGCACCAAAGCGCACGCCTCGTTGTGTGACCAATCCCAACTCAACCAATGGCATATCAGACTAGTTTACGACATGAGTTACCAGAGAAGTTTGGGGGTGGCGCAGATCGAGTGCGATTTGGTGGGTGCCCAGTCGCGCTCGAGACCCGTATTCAGGCATGATTGGTTACACTGAAGCTACACACATGCTAGAGGGTATACTCGCGTAACTCACGTGGTGCCATCTGGGCTTAGCAATCGCGAGTGGTCATGGTGGTTGGCATTTAACCTTTCAAGCATTTCCACTTATACGTGAAATATGCTTTCGCGGTGTGTCCGCCCATTTCATCGCTGAGCTGTCCGAACACCCACGGGAATTAGTGCGAATGAATTGGCCCTTGGGAATAATGACATGAAGTCGCTCACAAATACCGTTGTCGATGATCAGTTGGCGTGGAATTTGGGCTAGTGACTCCGGAAGGACGTGGAGAGCGTGTGGACCGCAATGTGGTTCGGGGTGTTGCATGCTCACTGAGCGCAATAATGAAAGGTCCGCGCTTGATGGGTGTAGCCATTCGAATCAGCTTGAGTGAACATTGGCATCCTCACCGAGTTTTCGCTGGCATATTGTCTCTGTTATGCCGTTGTTCGACTGAG